AAAAGCTCATGGACTTCATACTTGGTATTATGTCTCAGGGTGTAAGTAAAACATTCAGACGTGTCGTTTGCAGAGACGAGTTTCACGCACCGGTTTTTTCTCTCTCACTATATGGTTGTGCAAGAAAAATCCGATAATACATAAAATTTCGAATGAGAACACATTTTTTAGGGTAAATATGGAGCTATATTATTATTCGACTTGTTAAGAAAAAAAAATAGATGCAATTATAATTAAGAAAAAGAATAGATGCAATTACCATGATTAAGACATTCACCTTTACATGTGTGCATATAATTTGTTTCTTTCTTTTTCTGTTAATTTGTACCACAAGTCCTGGTCTACAATAAGTGCTTTAAGCCTTAAGAAATTGACCAATCACAGTTGAATATAAAGAAAATAATAATTAACTGTGATTAGTCAATTTCTTAAGACTTAAAATACCTATTGTAGACCGGGACTAATACTATTAGCTATAATGTCGCTAGAGAAAATGTTCAAGGATGATAATGAAAGCATCTATCTATCTCTCTTGTGCTCATTGAAATATTCGAATTCGCCGCAGGTACAACCATGGAGACTGGTCGTGGGCCGTGTGGGACGTATCGGACACGGCGAATTGAAAGGATGGAGCTGGTTACTTTCCAGGAAAGCACTCCTGAAAGCGTCCAAGCATCTGAAAGAGATATGCGGCCAGTGTAGTCTCATGTACCCCTCAGCAGCGCCGTGCGTGCTCAGCGCGTGCTTAGTCTCGCTCGAACCGGACTCCACTCTCAGATTAATGGCCGATCAATTCACTCCCGACGAGAGATTCAGTCAAGCATCCGTAAACTGCCAATTATCCACACCGCAGGATGTCACGTGCACTCACATACTTGTTTTTCCCACGTCCGCTACTTCTCAGGTGAGAGAGATTCCGAGTGAATTCAGCAGTGTCGTTGTAACAGATACGTTTTGTCTTTAAGTAATTAGATACAAATACAAATGCTGGAAGGAAAAGTGGTGTAAGTTTGAGGTAAATAATTAGATATAGACACATATATATTGTAGGAGAATATATTTAAATACGCTTCGTGAAGTCTGCAGGGTGTCTCTTAAGTACCTAGCCGTATTCAAGAAGGCGATTCTATATATATATATTCTTATATACTTAATTATTTACCTCAAATTTGTATCTGTATCTATTTGCATTTTCTTTCCAGTATCTAATTACTTCAAAAATATATGTTACAACTGGAGTTCAACAGTTAACGCGTTTTAATTGCTCGTTTAAACTCGAGACACGCGCGTACGACCTTGATACTAAATGCCACTTCTTCTGATGTTTCAGTCATCGCAGACAGCGTTCCAAGAGCAACACATTAACGTACTGGGGGACGACGAATTGTTCGAGTTCTCCGCTTTAAACGACGATATGCCGGAAGGCATGGAGGGAATGGGCGATTTTAATGATATATTCAATGTTTGGCCCGAACCAGGAGCAGGCGGTGGACAAAGCCCGAGCGGAAGTCCACACCGTCCCGAGGGATCGCCACTCGGCGGGGACGGTGGTGGATCAGGCCTGGGCAATCACGACGGTCCTGGTAGTCCGTTTCCATGCAGCAATACTCCGAGGGTAAGTCTGAATGTGGCAAAAAGAACGCGATTCGTCGCGCGACAATACCGTGAGAAAATATATAAATATTCTCTGGAGGTTCCTAATCCCTCGCTGCGGTCGTCGTCTCGTCCTTCATGACGTCGAAATGAAAAAATATATACTCAAAATTCCTGCGAAACATGTCCAAGTAACAGAAATTTTATTTCCATAAAATGATACTTTCGAGCTTCTCGGCGCACTTGTTAAAATAATTCGAGAACTTTTCCTCTGACGATCGATAAATAACTAAAATTAACCTGGTAACTGGTAACCTTCCTTTTTAGCCTATCTTTACCCACGTCGTTTGTCACGTTGATCTTACAGACCATTGATTGTTAAAATAAAAGAAGAATTTTCGGAATATTATTAATGCGCGCGCTCAGCCGATCACAAGTGACATTTTAAAGCTCCCGGTCCCTCGCTGCAAGCGTCATCTCGTAGATATATTTTTTTATTTTAACATGCAACGCAAGAATTCTTGGGGCACGCGTTTTCTCGCTTCTAACGTCATCGAGCAAGAACAGTTGCAGCGAGAGATACCAGGAAGAGCCTTAAAGAAATATCTTTTTACTTTTCAATCGTATGCATTCCGCAAGAACTTTGGACATATTTTTTTCTCGCGTCTGACGACATTAATCAAGATGACTGCGGAGAAATGGGAGTCTTGAGAGAGAGAGATTCCGCCGGTGTGAGTCTATGCGACTAACGCGAACGTAATTTTCGTCGGGATTTCGCAGGTAGCGATAGCCGAGCAGACAGAGGAAGTCGGCACGCTTTTGCAGCAACCGCTCGCTCTCGGTTATCTAGTGTCGACTGCGCCAACGGGGCACATGCCACCATGGTTTTGGGCAGCCTGTCCGCATCTCGAGAACGTTTGCCCGGTTTTCCTGAAGAACGCATTACACCTGCACAGTCCCGCGATACAGCAGAACAGCGACGATTTACTTCAGCAGCAAAGCGCACCCACTGCTCATCCGTTGGACTCGCAATATACCACTGACGTGCTCAGGTTCGTACTCGCGATTTTCCATACCGAGCGCTGTACGCAAGCCTCCCTGCTAAAGTATTTTATAATAAAAATACAGCCACTGTGGCCGTCATGTTTGGGTTAAAGCCGAAAGTTCACAGTCGTGATACGCGAAATGTTCAAATGCTATTAATAAAAGTACCATTAACTCTTCTTGTTATCCGAGAGTACTAAAATAAGTGCAAATTAAGTTAAATTTCTCAAGCAAGAAACGGAGTCGACACACGCCTGGTTATGTCACTGGTTATCGTTTGCTTATCCCGCATTTGGTAAAGAAAAGGACAATAGATGATATAATCACACCCGTGTCGACTTGTGCATCTTGCTGAGAAACAATCTTCGACACATCCGAACCGGAAATTGACCCAGGCATGGTGGATCAGCCAATCAGAAATCAAACATACGGAGGCTATACTCTTATTATAAATACTCTACTTCCTGCAAGTTCTCGTGTTAGACTGCGTTCAAAAACACCACACGGAAGATAGAGTAACTCTTAATTCATCAGTCACGATAAAGAAATCTTAGTTCTCTTTGTCCTGATTGGTCAATTAAATGCTACACTACCCTCAGTATGGTGTTTCCGAACGCAGCTCTAATGGTACGTACGTATCATATACGTCGTATTAATACATAGACGAGCAATAACGAGTGTGTATTCTCACGTCTTTCGCAGGTACGTGTTGGAAGGGTACAACGCACTCTCGTGGATCGGGATGGACGCGAACAGAAGGGACCGGCAGTCCTGCTTACCGGTGCACATACAAGTGCTCATGCAAATTTACCATGCAGCGGCAGCTCTCGTCTGACCCACACCCTCTCCCTTTGTAGTGCAGTATGTGCACCTCTCTCACGCACTCCTCCTTATCGTACCGTCACTCGGGGCTTTACGAGAGCAACTGATTTCCTATGCCCTTTACCTAAATACGTTAGTGACTTAGAGAGATTGTCTAGGGTACAGAGTACGTACGATCCTTCGACCAGCAGCAGCCGTCGATGATTCCTCACGTGTAAAAAGCATACCGAGCCTTTTTTACTCGGAAATAATAATTAAAATACGACACACAAACACGGTAATAACTTTGAATGCAATGGCTGAAAAAAAAAGGAAAAAAATAATAATAATAATAATACAGAATACCCGACGAACGATCAGCACAGCGACTCTCTTTACCATTTTTCTATTATAAACAGGCGAAATATAGATTGTACTTTGTGTTTACGAATATTGAGTAAGGAAATGAGATGCGTGTCCGCAAGTACGACCATTGTCAGCGAAAAAGCAGCATTAGTGAGCGCATACGTGGAATTTAGCGGTATGATAGAGAGAAGCGAGTGTGTTGCGCAAGTGACTGTGAGCAATGAGAGAAGGCTGTTGGGAAGGAAGAGGGATAGGACGGGAGAGAATGGTAAGAGAGAGAGAGAGTACACGTGTATGAAAGAGAAGGAGTGTGTGAGTGAAAAAAAAAAACGACGGATGAAAGAAAAGAGTGCATGAGAGAGAAAAAGTCCGAGAGAACGAAAGAAAGAGAGTGAGTGAGAGTGAGAGAGTGAGAGTGAGAGAAAGCAGATGAAAAGGAGAGTGCATAATAAGAAAATGATTTTCGATTGCCTCTCTGTCGATAGATAGTTCAATTACACAAATCAGAATCTCTAGAAAATTATGTAACCAAAAGTTTTTAATTGTAAATTAAATTTTGTACAAAGCTTTTATTATTAATAACGACGAAGTAATATAAATGATATTACGTTGTTTTTTAATTTTATATAGATGATATAAAAAAAAAAGAAAGAGAGGTGGACTTCTTTTTTATAAGCGATGCCTCGTACAAGCCCCTGGTGTGAAGATAAGTATGACGATTATAATATTATATTATGCTCGCGCGGCACTGGGTCGCTGTTATCATGTTTCCCGGACCCGTTAGCGCAATTTTTCGATGCTGTTTGACAAATTTTATTCGGATTAGGTGACCTCTATATATTATACATACATTATAGTGTGTAAAATATTGTTTTTAAATAATTTATGAAGTGAGACATCGCCGAGATTAGATAATTGAATGAGAGAGAGGGAGATTAATCGCGAGTGAGAGAGAGAGAGAGAGAGAGAGAGAGAGAAAGAGCGAGAGCGAGAGAAAGGAAGAAAGAGAGAGTGAGAGGGAGAGAAAGGAAGAGAGAGAAAGAACCAGTTATATATGCAGAGATTGTTTCCTTCAATTTAATTGAGCGAAGTAAGAAAAAAAAAAGAAAAGACACGAAGAGAGAAATGTGGGGCGCGTCTGAGTGGAGCCATGGTGGCCAATTGCGTCAGTCGCATAGTACAAATATGACTTGTACATAGAACCCCCCTCCCCTCCCCCTAATTAATTGGTTAATTTACTCACACACCCACACTCACTCTGTATCTATAGTATTTATTACTGGGTAGTATGTCATTATTGGGATTATTATTATTAAAAAATTATTATTATTATTACCATTATTATATATTAATATTACGAAATACAGTTTTATGTGTATATATATATAATCAAATCTCATTTTTGTGTATCTGCAACGCGCCCGAGAGATTATATTGCAAGCACAGTAGTAGTGATCTACATATTAGATATGCTTTTTCGGTTTCCCTAGTTAAATATAATCGTACAAGATATACATATGGAAATACCTCTTCTGCTACATTCCAAAGAAAATGAATAAAAAAAGAAAAGAAAAGGGTAAAACAATCTCCTCTATATACGATTCGGCGCACACAGTGGGGAATAAAACGTAAAAAAAAACTCTTCTCTCTGGTTGGTTCTACTTTTATTTAAGACCGAGTTTACACACTTCATATATTACGTTAAAATTATCACATTTCATCTTCTTATACATCGACTCGTGAAAGTGTGGTGGTCTTGTTTTCTCGTTCAACCCGAATCAACGAGGAGTCACGAATTGCTAGGGTGTTATCTACTGTGCTTGCAGTATCACCCTGTCCCGTAAAATGATCCTCTTCACCGTTTCCCCTAGGAGGGCTATATGGCATTCTGATTTCTTTAAACATAGAGATATACGCGTATAAACATCATCCACTTATCTACCTAAGAAGTACGATATATCACACTTTGTATCTTCTCGTGGGGAGGGAAGGGGGGCGTATTACACTCGTGATCGTTGGCTTGAATGGACTAGTATCGTATAATATAAAACGAAAAATCGTAATGAAAACCTACGAAATTGCCACTTATTCATGGACAGTGCGGACTAGTAATCGGTCAATGTTGACGCTTGATCCGGCGGGAGTTTCTCCAGGCCGTGATTGATCCCGTATGGCCTCAGGTGATAGATGAGATATTCAAGAACGTACATCATGTTCGGCGACACGTAATGAAAGGAAACAGCGCTGTCGGAGCAACAATTGAGGCCGTCCTTGGTCTTGTAGTAGATGTACTTCCAATACCAGAAGTTCTTGTCCACGTGATTCGGTATTAGGTGATGCTCCGGCACGAACGGGAAGAATCTGCCGCGTCCGTGGGGATCTCTCGTGTCCATCGCGCGCACGCCGATCTTCTCCAGGCACTTGCCCATCTCGACGTCCTCCGCGCCGCCGTTGTCCGGCCGGCACTTCGTCTTGTCCGGTAAGCCCTCCTCCACGAATTTACGCAGACCCTCCTTGCTAAGTACGTATCCAGCGCCGCCGCTCATGTAGCCTTGCTTCACGAAGGGCTTGAATCTGCAGCCGAAGTATAACGACGAGTTCGGGTTGTAGGGCGACAGCATGTACCGCAGATTCTCCACCACTACGTACCTGGGGAAATATCGTGCGGGATTTTGAGAATCGTTCGCGGACGGACGCGCGAGTGCCGAGGTATATCGACGGTCTCTAATCACAATTCAATGAGTTAATCTACGTTGCAATTTACTTAACCGCTTTTTGATCAATTTTTCTCCCTCAACATCATCAAATAGCTGCACATTCGATGGTAGCAGTAGTCCGTTTAAATATGCTGATACGCTTATCGCTATATCTCTTTTCCGATCAATGTAGCACCGAAGTTGTTCATATAAAAAATACACATTACACGTAAGAAATAGTAGAATAACTAGTAGGGAAAAAAAACTACCTTTTAATTAATTTTAAGCGCCTTAATAAGGCTTGGATCTTTTTATTTTACGTGGAAAGATGTCTAGACTATCTGCTGATAAGACAATTTCAAGAAATCATCGGTTTAGCGTATTTAGCGGGTTGGATTTTTCTTAATTACTGCGGGGATGGAGGGCGGAATGCACTTACGTATCGTCGTCGGCTTTCATGAACCAGTCTACTTTGTCTTTGTACTTTTCATAAGCATACTTGAACGCCTCTTTGGTTTTAGCCCACAGGTTGTCCCTGCCTTCCTTCACCGGCAATACTACAGTGGGTAAACTGGTGTCTGGAAGCAAAGTAATTCAGCGATTATCACAAGGAACAAACCTCTCACTCGAAACCTCACACCGGCCTTCGTCGCGGAGAGGGGCTCGTCGGAAGTACCTCTCTTCCTCTCTCGTACCTTCGGCGGAACTCATAAACAGGAGTATGTTGCAGCGTTTTCCCCACGTCGCCTTTACATGACGAGCCTTGCTCTGATGGTTCTTCGGACCGGTCATGATCCAGCAGAGCACGCGCACCTTCCTCGCCATGTCCTGCGCGATCTTGTCCTCCCCCTTGTGGAAATCTTCATCCTCGCCGTGGAATGTCACTTCGGTTTCCGGTCCGATCTAATGAGACAAAAGCGGGATATCAATGATAGCAGGTGTGGGAATACAATTCCTAAAATCTTTAGACTCGAGACATGATTATTATCAAGCATCAACCTCTGATTCCAGTTCCGAATAATGATGAGGATCTCTGGCGAGGCCGGAGCTACCCGGAATCCAGCTGAACATATGCGGCACATCCTTCGTGGACGTAATGAGCAGCAGTGCCAATATAAAGCCCAGAGTTACTCCGACCGCGAGAGTCAGTACGAATCGCCGTCCACTTCGGCCACCTAGGTGTGCAACTGCTCGTAAACTTCAATTATATTTTCATTCGTCGTATTTTTACTTACTTCAAATACTACGAACCGGCGTGATCGGTGGAACGGTGCGAGTATATATTCTCGGACATTTAAATAAGCACTCACCATCGAAACTAGGAAGCCGCTGCTGCACCATGATATTTCGCACAAACTAACGATTTAGTTCGATGATACTACAAATATTCAGTATGAATCACACTCTTATCCTTATTCATGTTTGCTCGTAAAAATCCACGATAATAGTATTTTACTTTCTCTTTCTGAAAATTAAGAGCACACAAGTGTAATGGTTATTTATTTCGTTAATTTCATTGAGGATGGTTCTATATTATAGTCAATTTATAGTCAAGTATATTTAACCCTTTCGGTACTACTGCCGCCCATTGGCGGCGGCCATGAAACGTTCTCTGGGTACTACGCTGGGTACTGGGCTTACGCTGCCGTACAGTGCAACCACTTTTGTGGAAAACTTCCTCCACGAATGTATAACCGCGGCCAGCTCCTCTGTACCGAAAGGGTTTACGATCGAATGCTCGTATGAGTGTAAAAATGGTGAGAGTACTTCAGCTTATCTCTCTACATAAATATCTGTGATCGCACTTATAAGTGATATCTATGTTATACTGATATCGTACTCGACAAATATATACAATCAAAATATTTATATGTAACAGAAAGTTCAAACTTTCTATTAAAGTGAACGAAGACTTTTTCAGACATGAAAGCCTTTATATTCACCAGTTATTAATTATATAATTAGAATATTAATTACATTTCATTCTAATATTCCATAAAATATACTAATAATCTCTTTATATCGCAACTCATCGTGTTATGGCATTAAAATTAATGTTGCACGAATTGACAAATGCAACGTCATGTGACTTCAATGTTAAGATAATCTCATTAAGTATTTTATGTAAATAAAGCCTACACTCGAGCCTTCTTCACATACCTGATAAGCCAGAAATTTCGACCAGATATACTGTCCAAGGCCATTTCGTAAGCTCATGTATGAAGCTTACAAGTTACAAAGAAGAGACAAATGATCCTCCCAGCACATTCTTTCTCTTCTCATTTCCACTCTTAATCACGAAGGAAACGGTTAAACAGTTATTGAGCTTTTATTTTAATACGGTCGAACGAATTGAGTCTTGGTTACTTGGGGAATGATACAAGGGAAATCCTTCAGTTCAGCAGTCCGGACCTAAAATCAAAACAACAGAGATATGAACAGCATTATTGGGTGGTCTCGCGTAAAAAGTGGTAGTTTGAAAGTGCTATTTCTCAAAAGTACATCAAGTAACAATTTATACACATTTTTATATTTGCCTAAATATATATAAAATATAAACTTCAATTTATACCAATTACTATACAAAAAACTTAATATTTTTTTGTTAATGTACAGACGATTCACTGGGGTAAATCATCTTCCACATAGCCCGATGTGGCCTGATACAACTATGTCTTCTCACCGCTACTGTTGTTTGCTTACTGCTGAGCTGTATGAAAAGTTACCTCCGCACAGATAAGCATTTTACGGCAGGTACACATACAGGCGTATTTAGGTGTGAACGCGATAGAAAAGCAAATGTGTGATATGGCAGCCAGTTATCATTACGCAAGACGGTAATTGCATACAACTATACATCACAGAGGAGATAATGAGATGGGGACATGCATTTCAATACAAGGTCATCCCGTATCTATAGAGACACGTTGCATATCCTGAAAGGACACATGTACACCACACAAAAATTGAATTGCGCAATGGCAAATGGTACATGATAAGATGCATTTTTTTCGCTTTATAGCACGTTGACTGGTTTTTACAATGCGACAGTTTTTACACGGTGCTGTTTTCTACATCAGTTATGAGATTACACGTCACCGGGGGGCATTTTAGTGGCAATTCAAGGCCTTAGAAGGCGGTCAACAAACACGCGTTCTTATCTCGTATAAAAGAAACTATAAACTACGAACGTAACGGGGCAACTTCTGAACATCCGACGCATGTATGAAACTTCGATTCACGCGGACAACCGTTGCACGAATTCGCCACCGGCCGATTCTCGCGCGTACCATGAGCGTCGTCGCCGGGTCTTTCTCTCTCTCTCTCTCTCTCTCTTAATCGCACAGGCATTATTTATCGCCGACAATACGCCGGAACATGCTTATCTCGGTTTTCACTGTCATCTCCATCCGTGTGTGTGACTCACACGATTCACTGGGAAAATATATATGATTTAGTGAAGGAGGAAGATCGCGAAGATCCGGCGCGCAGATCCTCTCTAATCTTCCGAGAAACGCGATGTGTTTACCCTGTCAGCGGCTGCCGGATGCAGGATCGAGCGAGATAATGAGAACCGTGAGATCAATTACAGATTAAGAAGAATAATCGTTGCGCGTCTGTGAAGAAACGTCGCTCGTGCGGGCCGCGCGTTTCCCGGGGGGCGGGGGGGGGAGAGAGCAGCTCGTCGGTCGTGCGACGGCGAGCGCGCGCGTTCCTGAACACCTCCGGATACTCGAAATACGGTGTTATCATCCCCGTTCTCAAACATAAGAGCAAAAAAAATAGTGCACCGTAATAGATGTGCCATACTCGAGCACCGATAGCGGCCGCACGAGTGGTCTCGCACATCTCATCGTCGCACTAACAATCGTGTGTGTGTGTGTATATACATACGAACCGCATGTAAAAAAAGCGTCTGTCATGATCGGCAGTCCCCATTCCGACGGCGCGTGCATTTTCAACAATGCTAGGCACACGCGCGCTCGGTGATAACACCGTATCGCGTCAGGACAGAGAAAAAGCGCGTCTTCTGTCGTGGAGGTGTTTCACGATCGCAACGAGGCGCGTGTGTTGCGGCGTGCCGTCGTCGGCTAGGCTCGTCGTCGTATCCTCGTCGTACAACGCACCGCAACCTCTCATTATCAGTCAACGCCGAGAGATTACACGCTCCTCCTCCTCCGCCACTCGTCGTGTGTTTCGCTCGCGTATTTTCGAATACGCCGAGCGTCCATAACGTAGCACATTTTTCACACTCGCTCGTTCTCTCTCTCTCTCTTTTTTTTCCTTTCTTTCTTCCTCGCTAGTTTTTCCTTCCCTCTAGAAAGAGAGAGAGAGCTAACCCGTCATTTCGTACAGCCGACCACACACACGTCGACGACGACACGGCGAACTATGCATTGGACAATTCGCGTGTATGCATGTACCGTAATGGACCTAAGAATTTAGGGACGGAGTGTAAACTCTCCGGCGAGAGGGTTGGCTAACTTGCGAGGGGAGTGAGAGAGCACTCTCCTTTTTTATTCGCTGATCGTCTCTCTTTCTCTCTCTCTCTCTCTCTCTATTATGAGCGAGTTTCACTTAACGCTCGCGACGACGCGAGCGTCATTCTATCTTTGTTTCTCTCGAATGTTAAACGAAGACAGAACGATGCTCGCGATCGTGCTAGCGTCATTCTACTTTCGTTTCTCGCTGAATGTTGAGGAAAGTTAGAACGATGCTTGCGTCGTTGCGAGCGTTAAATGGAACCCGTCTCGCCGATGAACTGGAACGTATCAATCGGGATCCACGATTTCCCCAGGGAATTTAATTAAACGTAGGATCAATTTGATAATCCCGTGTTGAAATCGTATACATAGCCGAGACACGATCGTGTTATCATGTGAGTTTTGATACGTCACACGCGTTCGGACGTATCGAATTCAATATGGCCGCGCCGTGTGCGGGAGATCGTCGATGAGAATGTTGTTCAATATTATGGTGTGAACGTCAATAACGCGAGCGATTGTTTTCCCTCCGTGATGACCGCCAACTATTATTTCGCGATCGTCGGCCACGCCGATAACCCGTTGTTCGAGATCGAATTCAATAATGCCGGGAAGGACGCGAAGGTCGGTTCGTCTTGCAGGTTAGGTTAACGCTTGACTGCGTTAACTAACTAATCCCTTGTCCACAACCTTATTTTAAGAGTAAGCAATAAGCAAATCGGCCAACCATCGACGTTTATTAGAAGAATAATCGATCCTGGCTAGTCAATTTGCTCACTGCTTACGTCTTAAGGCAAAATTGTGGACAACAGAAGCGATCAACGTTCGCGTTGATTGTTTTTATCTCGATGAGACAATTTTACTTTCCAGAAGGAGGACCATTCGCACCTAAATCAATTCATCGCCCACGCCGCGCTCGATCTCGTGGACGAGCATACGTGGAAAACGACGAACATGCACCTGAAAGTCGTGGACAAGTTCAATCAGTGGTTTGTAAGCGCTTTCGTCACGGCGACGCACATTCGATTCGTCATGGTGCATGACAGTAAGAACGAGGACGGGATTAAGAATTTCTTCAACGAGATGTACGAGACCTACATAAAGGTGACTGTCATTTCCGTCGTGTCGATGTGTGTATTCTTATTTCTCTGGTCGTTCATCCACGCTCAATTTGATCTCTCTCTCTTGTGTCTTAGTACTCTATGAATCCGTTCTACAAGCTGAACACTCCTATCAAGTCCCTGGGATTCGAGAAAAAGGCACAGTTGTACGGCAGAAAATACTTGTCGTCATAACGGAATCCGATTCGGCTCATAGAATAAATGAACCAACTCTTGGTTGAACTGATAAGTTTACAGAAAATTATTTATAATTTAGTTTCTCTCTATAATGTATATAAAATTCCATATGTTAGGGAGAAATGTATTGTTAATATACGTGTAATATACCGATGATATATATTGCTTTTTAAATTCAACTTGATTTTCAATGCAATTTTTGTGTTAATGTGCAATGAACACAAAGCGCTTTAGGATCGCTCAGACATGAGAACAAGTCAAGCAGCACGTGCAAGGTGACTGTACGTATATTTAGATTTATTGTAACTACTTAGATATTGTAACAATTAATTTGAAAGTCGATATGATAGCGTCGTGACTTTTCCTGCTGATGTCCTCAACATTTAAATAAGAGCTGACCCTTTTACTTGGCAACTATGTAGGGGGAGAATGTAGCTGAATTTTTTTCCATTACCTTCTGTGCATTAAATATCACTATTTTATTAAAAAATATATGTATTTTACTCTATTTTTGTTTCGATTTCTTCAAAATAAAACGATAGTAATATAACATATTTTGTATTCTGCATTTTCTATTCCAGTTCTTGTATCTGAAATGATAAGATGTATATAAGGGAGAATTGAAATATTTAGTGTAAATTGCAATGTATATAATATACATGTGAATCAATCTCATCGTACCTCTTGCAATTTTTGCATTTCTTGAGTCAATAAATTATCTAAAATCTCCTGGAACCTCTGCCTCAGCTTAATATTCTCTATATTAGCTATCTCAATCTCCTGCTGTTGTCTTCTCTGTCGTAGCTCCGCCAGTTCCGCATTGAGAGTAGCGAGGCGTGTCTGCAGGGAATCTGAAATTTTTTCCATCAGAGACAGATAATTATATCTATAGCAATAACTCGGGATGCAGATTAATCAGTTATTGTAAAATTACCTTTAGACACAGACATGGGCGGCGATTCCGTGTAATTGTCAGGAATAATATATTCCGAGTGAAACTGCTCTAATTTCGACACTTTCGACGTGGTGGCCTCTTCCTGCTGTTTCTCGGTCTCCGCATCGTCATTGTTATCATTTTCGAACATCTCTTTACTAAACTCAGTCACCAATCCGTTACTCGTTGTCGCATTGTTGTTTGACCTTTCAGAATACGGCGCTTGCATAGAATTGGAGTCTGAAACTCGGCTATCCGCCGAGAGACGGCTATTTTCATCCAGTTCCATCACATTTATGTTTGCCTCTTCGTCATCGTCCTCACTGTCGCTCACAGGCTCACCAAATATATCGTGCTCAGCTATAATTAAATAATTAGTAATACACGAATTATCACAAAGTAGAAGACCAATCTGTTCTCACAAATAACCAGTAGAACTACAACTCACCGACATCCAGACTTTGAGATGTGTTCCCGTTGATGCTGTCTCGCTTAGTTTTAACTGTACCGGACGACGACACTTTGCTTGGTTTCGTTTGGTCCTCATCTTCGCATATCACTTCCCACTTGACGTTAACTGCTTCATTGTCCACTCGCAACAGCCGCTTAACTTCCTTCTCGATCTCTGGTGCCTCCACGTATTTCTTCTTCAAGGTTTTTCTGAACCTTCTGCGCCTTACGTTCTTCGAGGGCGGTGTTATACCATGAGGCCAGAGGAACTTTTTATCAACTTTGTTCGGATCTTTTTTCTTCTGCTTAACGGGTGATTCTTCGTCCGTTGCGGTATGATCATCTTCTTCTTTACATATCACCATCTAAAGGGATTTGCAAGAAAAAAATCTTCTATACTATTGTGTATTATTAAATATCTTTTGTATCGTTATATTTCTTACCTTACCTGACATATATCGGCAGTCTTGTAAAAGCTTTTATTATCAATGGTTTTCAGGGATTCTACTATCGTTGGTAAATCCACCACCTAAGTGACGATATCATATCTTGTTAAACGATTCTCGGAATAACATAAATGAATGATACACACGATAGTTGCAAATATTATTACCTTAGCATGCAGCAACCAGTGGTCGAATCTAACCTCACCATAGCGCATGTCATTCTCCAATTTAATACTCAGCCTATCTTTTAAAGGAAGACCGTTACTCAACGTATCTTTTAATATTCTAGCAGGTTCCTAAACGAAAGTAATTAAGTAATTAATTGTAATTGTTGATATCCGATGTAATGTTTATAGGTTAGGTCAAATCTAACTTTGAGATTGCGCGAGTTCACGATAAAATTAATAATATAATTACCGGTGGTAGGCGCAAAATGAATTGGCTTTCTAATTCAGCCTGCGGCTCATTACGATTTTTGTAGTCAACGTTCGGATGACGATTCATCTTCCTTCTTTTATACGATAGAACAGCTAAACAGACAACAACTACATTCCTCTCGGACAGTCACACACTGCGAACACTCGCGCTTAACCCTTTTAGTGCCGGGAGCCGATATATCGGCTCCTGCTACACCGGCGAGAAGTGCCAGAGCCGATATATCGGCCCGCACCTTGTAGCGCTTTACTATTCGCATTGCGAGAGATCTCTATCAAAATAAATTTAAAATACGTTATAAATAGTCTAATTTCATTACGAGAGAATTAAAATAAATAATTTTTAAATATTGCTTTTCGTTTGGTTTTTATGAGCCTTTTACCAAATCCTAGTAAAATCGGCCGGTTATCTTCGCATAAGCACCTCTTTTTCGCCCGGCACTAAAAGGGTTAAAGAGTCCGACAAGAGTCACGGTGGAGACTACTCGCGGAAATTCCGGAACTACCAAATCTTACAAGGTATAATTTCATGGTTTCATAGTGTAGAGAGTCGAAGCCAATCAGCAGACAAGAGTCAAACATCGACCCAATCAGCAGACAATCCATCGTGCGCTGATTGGCTCCGACGCTCGGAGCCAACCTTGACGTTGCCATGAAAAAGTACCTTAGGCTGGCATTACATGTGTTGTAAACATTGTTTGAAAAACATTGATGATTTTACTCAATCCTACTATACAACCTACTATATAACTATGGACGGGAAGGTTCTGTTTTCGATTATTCTCTTCACATTCGACTATGATTGGTCAATTTCTTAAGGCTTAGAACTTAAGAATCGGTCTGCAACAGATATTTTAAGCCTTAAGAAATTGACCAATCACAATTAATTATTCTCTTCACATTCGACTGTGATTAGTCAATTTCTTAAGGCTTAAAATACCTATTGTGGACCAACACTAAGTTCCAGTCTACAATAGATGCCTTAAGTCTTAAGAAATTGACCAATCACAATTGATTATTCTCTAACATTTTCTCAATTACTATTCTCAATGAGCGAACATCGATGTTTCTCAAACATCGATGGTTTTGTCCATTCCTAAGCGAAAGCTCCTTAAAGTAACCAACTGAAATTTTTAAATAATCCATAGACAGTGTTAGTGGCGTTGGGGTTCGCCAATTTGACTGCCTGTAATCGTAATTGAACAGTGGAGCTCTAGAATATAACCTCTTTGCAGATACTGTTTTACCACGTTCGTGGTATTACTGAGATATTTTATAATGAATTAAAATTTCCTTGATTCTTGAGAAAATACATCCTTCTAGTGTTAAGGATATACGACCGTCAACATGGATATGTATCAGCTGAGAAATGTATATTTTTTTATACATAACTATCATTCGATTAAACGTATAACGAATAATTCCCTGCTTTTCACGTTGTTTTATTTATATTCTATATTAATCGCATGTTGAAATAGCAACGGTGAGCTCTCAGTAAATCTGTTGTTTTCAGTAGTTCAAAGACTTTCTTTTACTCTACAATCAAATATCCGAGACGTGTTTCAAGAGATGCGCCAATACTTTTCTTACTCGAGAGATCACTGCTAATGAGGTAAGTTTAATTATATAAATATACTAACGATTCAGAGAGAATATGTGCATTATTGAGAGCAAATCTAATATTTCTTTTTTTTTTTGGAATTGCAGGATCTTTGCATAAGCAATTGTGCACAAAAATATATTCGTGCTAATCACAAGATAATGGAGGTATTTATGGAAGTGCAACCTATAATGGTGCGTAAAAGAATGGAGGAGATAAGCGCTACTCAAGCAGCATTAGAAGCGCAAGCGCAAGATCAACAAGTACAAAATCAACAGGTGCAACAGAATTCACAATAATATTTATTATAAATTTATATACCTGGGATATATTTTCTAATTTCAAACATTCATTAGTAAAACATAAAATTGTACGGCAGTGTCGAAACATATATGAAGTTGTACCTTGAAAAAGATTTTATTAAGTGTACAAATTAATTCGGTGCCTTTGCACTTTAATGTTCTGTAACTCCGGTTCAAATTTAAATTTTCAAAGCGCTATGACTCATGAAACTTGTAAAAAGACCTTTTACCAGCGATAGAACTAGGCAGGTGATTCTGCTGCACGATACACGCAGCAAAAGCGACGAAGTATCTCATCTGTACATTGGATTAGGAAATTCTCCCTCGTGTGACTTATTCGCCAGATTCAACCCCATCGGATTACCTCCATATTTATATGCAACCTATGGTCGCTTCAACATCATCTGCCGGATACGCATTTTAAAACAGTTGACGAGGTCCGCGAAAAAGCTTCGACGACTTTACCGAGTCAAAACCGCCACGTTTCTTCCGCGATTCATCAGCTACCCGATGGATAAAGTATAAAGTCGTAGAAAATAACGGAAATTATTTCGAACATTAAATTTGTACTTGATTTTTTGTAAATAAACTTGGAATTTCAATTTGAAAAAAGCATCGAATTAATTTGTACACCTAATACATATATATGTATGTATATGTGTACATATACATGTATGTATATATAGATGTGTTTGGTCCAGAAAAACTTATATCTCTCAATCTCGCGATTATGAGATGATCTGTTCTTCGTTTCTTTTTTTTTTGCGATTTTTAATAAGGTATGCATACTTCGATTTTGATGATTTTTAAGTTATTTGTCTCCTCTCAAGCAAAATGCACCTAAAGTAAAATTTTATTCACTACTACTTAAACAACACAATAGACTTAGTCATAATCTTGCCACTAATATTTTTGTAACACACATTTTGTAAGATATCGAAGACAAAATATTTATATAAGTGTTCATTTATTGTTAAGAACTTGTATACACATAATATACACACACGATAACATCATAGTTAGGAACATAATATTTCTCATCTGCTACATATTACTCAAATAATTAAGTGCTTTATTGTACATACTTAATTTATAATGGAAATAACAGTTTTTTTTTTTGTATAAGACTGGCTAAAAAATATCAAGTCCTGTTTTATAGAGATACAGAACTCAGAAATGATCGAGAGTTGTTCTACGGAATGTAATTCAGCCGTGTAGCAAACTGTATGAATTAAAAAAGAAGGGGTAATACCCTCTCGAAATTCTCACGTACATAAAGAAACATATATGTACACGTACCAATGCAGTATTTTATTATACACACTGAAGGCCGGAGTTATCAAATATTCCGTATTGCTATTGGCTATTATTCCCCGGATAACGGATGCAAGCGTAAAATGAGAAAGAATCTGCTGAATTTTTCCATGACTATTTGATATCATGTACATTTACTTCGTATACATTCACCATACACACACGTGAAATGCCTTTACTAAATATCATATACACACCCTGGAAGAATCAACTTCACAATCTCGGTGATGCAACACTTGCCTGCGTCCTTACATATTCATTGCCGGTATACTGAAAATCTACAGTTCATGTTATGTATATTCTAGATTCTCAGTACTGCAAGTGAATATACAAACACAGCTCCTTGTAATATTATATCGCTACGAATTAATTTATTTGTTCGTTAAGGATAGCTAGTTGCAAATGGTTATCACTATCATGGCAAGTAATAAGTGACAGCGATCGTTATCAGAAGTGCCATCACTTCCTACTAAAAAATACTTTTTAAGGTTTCCGAGATCTTCCGAGTAAATTTTAAATCGGTGATGCAACTGTGGCGTAAACTATATCATGTTCTCACTGTAGGGGATACACAAGCGCAAGCATTCAAACTTATACATCTAAAATCGGTAGTACGTTATCATTATCTTTCTATTCTTACAATTTTGGAAACATATACTTAAGTAAAACAGTGACTAGTTGTTCTTCGCGATGTTTTGCCTCTGTATAAAGTTGAGTTTGGAAAGTGAGTATAAGTTTTTCGAAGAAGATATCATCGATGCCATGATATTTGTGTTCTTTTATAGTACTTGCCATAATTCATTTATAGAAGAAACAGACTCGACTCTTTGTGTGTGTGTGTAGTATATATTATATAAAGCTGTATCTAACAGTAACAATAACTAATATACACCTTCAATCATAACATATTTATCACAAAAATGTCGAGAACATTTATATCGGAAGCAATTTTCATAAATTATAAAGTTCAAATATAAAAAAGCATAAATTATATATAAATTAAACTATACGATACATATTAGAATGCACACACGCGCATAAATTCAAAGAAACTGAGTAATAAATTGTACGAGATAATACTCATGATTCTCCACCATACAAACGAAACGTAATACTTATGAGACTTGTAACAAAAGAAAAATGTTCTGATATTACAATTGTATGTTTCCTTGACGTACATTTAATACACGATTACTTTTAACATTCTACTAAGATTCGCGCAACCTGTCATTTCCCTTGCTTTCAGTAGAAATTAATTTGCAATACATAATATTATAATTTATTACATCGTTATACATAAGAAATAAGTTTACGTAACTCAGCGATATAGTCTTTAAGCTTCAATTTTTATAAAACAACGCGCGAGCTGTAACCTTCAAAGATTAGTCTCTTAACAGGATTTCGGACATAGCCGTCACTATCAAGCTATATGCTTTTATTATGTGTGTAAAGTGTGATATAAACAAGCAATCAATGCCACTAAATACGCTGTAAAATAGAAAGCTCCATTTATCGTGTTACGTTACATTACGTATTTACATTGGAACTCTTCTCTAAGAGAAATATAAAAATTAAATATCTATTGCCTCTCCTCACCTGTCTTTCTCTCCCTCTTTTTCTCCGAAGTATTTAAGCATTGAAAATCAATTTTCCGAACGTTCACTAAGTCATTTAGAGATTCTTTTAAAAGAATTATTAATTTTATAATACACGATGTACGTCTCGAAGGTATCATATATCTATAATGATCATTACGATAGATATTCCGTAACATGGATTCAGTCTGTTTATACATCATGAAACTCGCTCTCTCTCTCTCTCTCGCGCTTTCTCACTCGATCTCGATTAAAGTGTCAGACTAAAAGACGGCAGCTCTCAAGTGTGTACCGGTAAATCGTTTGTGTTTCTGATGACTGTTCTCTACCTTTACTTTTCGCGTTTCTCGCAACTCGAGGTAACTCGGGTGTGGACGAACGCACTTGTGTTGTATTCACATATCCTTCGCAGCGGACGATGAAGCGGTCTGTTCTGGTCGAACTACTGCTCCAGCCATGACGGTAAAGTCGAGTTCGGCGATTTCACCTTGATGTTGAACTGTTTGAGAGTTGCTTCCAATGCGGTTTGATTCCCCGAAAAGTAGGCGGATACGGCGTTGTGGAATAACAGCAACTGCTTGTGCATCACTTTGATCTGCAACGACATTGTACAGTCAGAAGGTACATTGATCGAGTGTGCTGACAGTTGTTTGTAGAAATCGAAGAGGAAGGATACCCTGTTCTCGTCCAAGAACTTCAGCTTGATGGAAACGTCCGAGCGCAGTTTCTCGAAATTTTGCTTGTGCCCTTCGTAATTGGCCTGCGCCTCTTCTAATCTCGCCGCGTTACTACCGTCCGACTTCGTGGCTTGCACGAGAGCCTCCAGATCCGTTCTATACGCGTCGTATTCTATCCTGAAAAATTATCATATCGTGACGACAACGTGAAACGTGCAGGATCGACGCTGGAAGTGCGACGAGATCGACGGTACCTCGCGGTTTCGTATTGTCTCACTGTAAGCAGCGTGTCCTCGATCGTTTTGTTGCACAACGTGTTCACGGAGGAAACGAAGAAATTTAAGGCCCCTAAAAGTGTCTCGCCGTTTTTCGTCAAATTCCTCTGCGTCTCCGAATTGTACAGAAACTCCTCCTGCAGCTCGGGCGATTTCTGCGCCAGCTCAGAAAACGCTTCTCCGAGGGCGTGCTGCGTCTGCACGACGTGGTGGAAATGCGACGCCAATGCGCGCGATAATCTCAGGACGTTGCAGTACTTTCTCTGAGTGTCTCTGAGCAGTTCGATCTGCGTCTCCAGTTCTGGAATAGACGATTCGTCGATTCGATGTTGCGCTTCATCAGCAATCTGTCCGATACACGGACACACACACACATACACTTTCTTATTCATGAATGACTTACCAAAATCTACGGTACGCGATGTTTTCCCTAGTCTCTCGTACATTAATTGCTTGGTGCATTTGTACGTGGAGATGCTCCAGTTCTTGATACTCTCGATTTTGCTCTGGGTGGTGCGCATAGTCTGCGTATCGCCATTCTGAACGGGCGTGCTCGGAGAGACCGCCACAGCTGCCAAACCACAGATATCTTTTACTATAATTTTCGAAGTTGCAGAGCAAGCCACGATGCAGGCCGGCAAGATTCGCCAAGCAGAGTTAATACATACAATTCTGCGACGTGGGGCTTCCTAGGCTCAAATTTATAGTGGCTGGTCTGGGATGACCGTCCGCACTACAGTTGTTCGGCACGTGAGGTGGAGGAGTTCCGGTATGTACAGCATTGTCGCTTTCATTCAAGGACGGTGCATCTTTCAACATCTCGTGGATGCTGCGTTCCATCCCACTCGATGTAACCGTGATTTGAGACATTTCTGCAATAAGGTACAGACCCGACTCTCTGAGGATGAATTCTCACCTGGCCAGTTGCAACTTGAAGAAGCAGACGAGCTTATTCTCCCCGTTCTGACACGAACGAGGAGCAACGGATAAACAATAATAATAATACTGCGGTCAAAGTCGCATCTCGAAATCGAGCGAAACTGTGCACTTTTTCGCAAAGATGCGCCAGCGTGTGTTAGATACTTACAATTAACAATTTGGCAGAAAGTGCGACAGAGAGAGAGAGAGAGAGAGAGAGAGATAGTCGCCGTTCACGACATTCGATCTTGTCGTTACGCGACGTGACGTATGAAGCGTATTACCGCTCGGAATATAATTAATGGGCCACGAGCGGTCGTCGCCATAAACGGTATCACTCTATCTCTCACGTACAACGCTTTCTCTACTTGTCACATCTCTCGTGATAATTTTTTGGACAGCACCGAGTGGCACGGCGGAAGATACGGCGGACCGGACACCTGTTTCCTCGAGGGCGAGATGCGCCCAGAATCGCCCCCTTTCTGGCGAGCCGCTACGACGAGGAACGCCGCCGTCAACGTCGGATAAAGTGATACTTACTACGAGATCCACGTCCGTACGTCAGTTATATTTCTAACGCTCTATATACGAACGCTGCATAAATCGAAACACTTGACGGGCGATTTTTATCTACGGCGTTTCACGAGTTGTTTCATGAACAAGCGCGCGAGGCTAGATGGCGCGACGAGGAGGAATGACGGAAGTAAGATACCTCGTGAGAGAGAGAGAGAGAGAATAAGAGAGGTGGTCTGTTCTTTTCAGACGAACCTTATGTTACAAGCAGGTTCCACTTAACGCTCGCAACAATTGACTTCGTTGAACGAGAGCTTTCCAGCAAGAAGCACAGTTTTACACGGTGAGCACAAAGCTACTTTATTGGTTACGTAGTATCTAAGTTATCTCCTAAGATAATATGTTATAAAATCCGCGAATTTGATTTGGTGTACGCTCTTAATCTTGGTTGAATCTGAGAGCGCACACCAATCAGATTCACGATTTTATTCGCAACTGCAAAGCTGCTTTCTCTGCTGAACGCAGCCATAGATAACCGTTACTCGGTGGTTGTACGACGGATCACCGAATACGATCGCTGTTTCGTTATTTTTTTAATTATTCCTTCCAAACATAATATATTCAACGACGCAATTCGCAGAGTACGCATAAGGTCTGTTCGTTTTCGCTGCACCACTGAACTAGTGCAATAAGTTGAAGTGAGACAACCTATACTTATCTCACTTCAACTTATTGCACTAGTTCAGCGGTGCAGCGAAAACGAACAGACCTATAATTTTATATTTAACGTTACAATATAGCACACCTGTACAATATAAATTGTCCCATGTTGACATAAAAAGGATGAATGATCATACAAATTATTATCGCGATACAAATATACACTCATTAGTTGTCTCTCGTTTCAGGTTCATCCTCATATGCTGACATAACTTTCTCCATAATCTCCCATAGTTTGTCCCTCGTCAGATCTTTGCAGAAAACCTATTGTAACAAATGTACAATGAATTACAATTGCAATCTAGCATCACGTGAGAATTCCGTATACTTACGTTAAACCATGGTTGTTGGTCACACTCATCCATCAAAGGTACGACCACACCGTAAATTTGCAGCGACAAATTGATGCAGGCTATCGCAATTAAATTCGGTGGATAATCAAGAATAGCCGGGGAATGATGGAAATCTTGCAGCAATGCCATACTGGTTTTGGCGACTGGATACTTGAACCACTCCTCTTCGCCAAACCAGGCTTGCAAAGACCGTAAATAGTGAAGCATATACTGTAATAATGCAACATAATTATTGACGCATACAAATTAGGGATACATATCTGCAGTGTTTTACCTTGTGCGGATGTACAGGCGTGACTTGAAACTTCAGCATCCTCATAATTAAAAGCTCAGCTTGAACAATTGCATCTCTCATACTCCAATACTGATCTCCAAGATCCAACGGCTGAGATCCTCTATGAAGAGTATTGTACGATACATTCATTACATCTCTTATTTTCAGACCGTCATCTTTGGCCTTACCAGCCAGGTAAAGGCAAGTTGCACCTATCAGCTAAATTAAACAGAAAGATTAAATAAAATTTATTTTTGAAAAATATACGTTATAAATGACATAGTTGTGAGATCTGATATAATTGTTAATATAGTTTGTGAGACATTTTAGAGAAACATATGTATATAGTCAATATGAATTGTTCTTACATAATTATCATATCCTTGCGGAGTTGCTTCCTTTATGAATCTGTGATACAGTGTCGCAGCAGTCGCAATTGTCAACGGATGAGCTTCCAATTTCAATCCTAAAATCCAAAACAATTTCCAAGTAATTTATGTTCGTTAAAACTTAGAGATTATTAGTGCATAAGGTATTAGTGAGGTATGAGTGAATTTACCACATTCGAAAATGAATCGTGAAATTGTGAAACTGTCGCTCGATTTCGTATAATCGATTGTAACACTCTTTTGTAAAGTGTTTCTCTTCTCACGTTGCATCGCAAGGACGTCGATCACATCCTTCATCTTGGAGCTGCGGAATAAATTGTGTAACTAATATTAACCCACTAGCTGCCACGATCCCCATTTGGGGCTCAAAACAAAACATAATTTGAATATAATTATACTGTTACACAACTTTTTGTGTATATATATAACTTATCCGGCCAAAAATTAAAAAAAAAAATTTGGCAGTTAATGGGTTAATAAGCGTCATTCGACTGACAAAATGAACCTTTTTCGTGAGGCTAACAATCAAATTTCGCGCGAAAAATACGCGAATAAAGTTACATTTCATCATAAAAGCAAACCAACACACACATAACCTTGTTTCGTTAATGTTCATCGGAAACTTATTCTACCTGAGAGTCTCAGTGCTAGTTGGTTCTGTGGGATTCATTTTCCTCGTGGAGCGGGAGTCTAGTCTTGAAGATTGTGTGAAGGATTCAATAAATCGAAGTAAAATAGGAATATGTCTCTCAACGAAAAAGACGCGATTGTTCGATCGTATGTAATCATGTATCCCACGTATATATTCGTTCCGTTATACGACCGGAATAAAGCCGGCTTCACACAATATAGCAAATGTAGGCGAACGTGAACTATTTTATACGTTGAGCGTCATTTATCACACTAGCGGTTGCCAATTGCGTCGCGCCTATGCCTACATCTACGATTATCTCTTGACCAATCAGAAAGGAGATGCTAGTGATTTGATTAATCAAGAGACGCGGACGTGATCGATAATCGCTAGTATGATACGGGCATCATCAAATCAAAAATGCCATCAATATATATTTGTAGAAATCATTGAACTAAAGAACATATTTAAATGAGCACTGGCGTGATGGGGGTCTGTTAAGCCCGTATCAGACGACGGATTGGAGATTGAGATTGAATTGAAATTTGACCAATCAGTGTAAAGTTCACTAAATTTCATTAAATTGAATTCAGTTAACTGATTAGCCAAATTTAATTTAATCGCAATCCCCAATCCACAGTCTGATACGGGCTTTAGAGAAACTGTGCGACAAAGGCCACGTCTAAATAGTATCTCGCTCTCTATCTTATTAACATGTATAGTCTATATAGGGTAAGATAAAACAGACACAAATAGATAAAGACAAAAATACTGCTTAGATATTTTCTCTCTCGGCATGAAGTCATCTGTCAGAAACAAAGGCAATGCTTATTCCCAATATGTTCTTTAATTCAATGATACAATCTTATGCATAGTTATAAAACATTAATCATGTTGAATTATGAAACGAAACTTACCAGATACATTGAAAATCAGGCGGTGTTCCAACTAGCAGCATTAGACAGCGTTTCTGTGTTTAAAGCGTGATTGGTCAATTTATTAAGGCTTAAGGCATAAAACACTTATTGTGAACCGACACTAAAGCGAGGTCTACAATGAGAATTTAAGTTCTAAGCCTTAAGAAATTGACCAATCACAGTCGATTATTCTCTTCACGTTCGATTGTAATTGGTCAATTTCTTAAGACTCCAAGCTTAAAGCACCTATTGTAGATCAGGGGACTCGCAACGCACAGTGCGTGCACTTTTCGAGACCACCATTTTCCCCCCTACTTGCATTTTCGTTCCTTTTCTGGTAGATCCGTCGCGCTACCACCTCCATAGCGTTCATATTTAATGACCACGACGAAGAGACGAAGCATCGCGCCACGGTGAGGGAGGTGGGAAGGCTTTATATAAACGGAATCCTCGTTTATCGCGCCACATCGCGTCTCCCCGATCTATTGTAGGTTATGTCGCGCTGAATTCGTGAGAGCGAGGTGAAAATTCGTATATTTGGGATCAGAAGGAAGAGCGATCGCACGTGTGAGGACCACCCGGATCAATTTGGTGCACCAAGTAACCACACGCTCTCCCGACGAAGTCGCTCGCGTTGCTTCTATTGTCGACTGAAATTTACGCACACTTTTGTCGAGATCGCGCGTCTTGCTAGTCGGTCTCCCCGGATTATTGCGCAGCAGATACTCGGCTTCTTATCGCTGACCCATCTAAGAAGCGTCTCAAGAACGCGGATCAGTCACAAGAGTTTCCCTTTGTTTTCGGCAAATTGATTGCGTCAGACGCAAGGGAAGTCGCGAATCGACGGAGAGCTTAGAGAGAGAGAGAGAGAGAGAGACAAAGAAAGAAACAGTAACACCGAGAGGAGAGATAACACAGCACGATGTCGGCATCTCCGATCGCCAGACAGGCCACCCAGAGCCAGAGCATACCGTCCAAGAGGATCGTCATCCACGATCCCAATCAGCTGCCGGCTGATTACTCGTCCACTCCCGGGGGCACGCTCTACTCCACGACACCGGGAGGTCAGTTGCATCAGTTAATTGCATTCACATCTCTTTCTCTCTCTCTCTCTCCTTTTTGCTCTTCCTTCTCCCAGGCTTGCCATTGGCCTGTTCATTTTAACTCAACTAATGCCGCACTGGAATTTTCCCAGGCAATACAGTCTTAAATCGAGACACAAGACGTCGAAGAATATATCTTTGATACAGCTTTTTAAGACGTCTCAAAGATGTCTTTAAGTCTTACGTCTCTATTTTAGACATTGTACTGTCTGGTTTCGTTCCTTTTCTATTCAACGTTAAGTTGTACGCTTGTCTCGCTTTAAAGACGAAGGCCCGTATTCTAAGTACTTTTTATTGGTAAAAATGCCTCAGGCATTTATAAAGTGGCTCAGAAGCCACATTTGAGACGCTTTTAACGATAAAAGGGAGAATATGGAGTAAAAAATGCGATCTAGTTTTGGCCAAGACGAACAGACCTCGTGAGATACCGAGTCTGGTGCAGCGACCGACGCTTGTTATTAATAAAATCACGCCGCGACCGCGTGCGCAACCTGCGAAAACGGCGAGCGCGATCGAAATTGGAGCGCAGAAGGCGCGCGGGCGGAAGCGAGAACGTCGCGGTCGTTCGAAACGCCGGTGTGTGATCGGTCGGCCTCGCATTCTTATCGCCGACAATCCTAACGCGGCGATGAAACCGAAGAAGTAGCGCTTGCGCCACGCGAATTAATTAATGTAAAATATTTCCGATCGCGCGGAGAGAAGGAGAGAGATCTTTTCATCCGGCTGTCGATCGGCGGATTATGGCCGCGCTTAAGTCGCGAAATTGAGACGCACACGCACGTTCGCGATCCGCCACGCAGACGGATAAAATCAATATTTACAGATGTAGAAATTACTCATCCTCCGAGCGTGCAATTCGGCCTGCAGGCGCAGACGGTTGATAAGTTTTCGGAGAGCGCGAGAAAAGGACAAGAAAAGAGAGAGAGAGAAAGCGAGCGAGCGAGCGTAAGCAATCGCAGAGACGTTGACTCGCAGATATCGATATATTGTTTGGGGTCCCGGCGCGCGGCCTCGATAAACAAACACATACACACACGTGCGGCGCGTCGTCGCCAAGGCCGTTGTTATTTACGCATCGCGCAATTGTCACAGTCGTGGCACATAGTGGCGATTATTGTCGCTTCTTTCGCGACGACGATGAATGTATCGTTATATAATTGCGCATTTCGAGAGGGAGCCCGATCGATTATTTATCGCGCGGGACGCGCGACGAGTCGCAATAACAACTCGCGCTCGTTTCACTTGTGCGGATGTGTTCCACATTTAGCTGAAGTAGCCGCGTAGTTATCAGTCCGCGATAACATTGCGCGCGACCTTGATATTAAACTTACGAGGCTGAAACTACAATCTCTCGGGGCAGACGCGCGAGAGATGCGCGCGCGCGCGTAGCTATTGCGTTTTCAGCACGAGCAGAAGCGTGTGCGCGGTCTATCGCGCGCTGGTGTGTTTACGTTTCTGCGAATGCGTCGCGGTCACTTGTATCGAAAGGAAGAGCGAGCGGGGCGAAGATGGATAACAGCTTTGTTACGCGGGAAAAAAGAGCGCGTTCGTTCGCTCGCTCGCTCGTTCGTTCGTGCTTTGTCGCACGTCGCGCGGAGTAAACGTCGTCGGGAGATCAACTACGGGGGGAAAAGTAGAGAAAATTGAACAGAGAGAAGGTCGACCGGAGAGAAGAGCTCAGACACGATGGTCCATATTCTGAACTCGCTTCTATCGATAAAATGCCTCTAGAAGTAGCTCGGAAACCATCTGGCTGAGAAGCCACATTTAAAAGCACTTTTATCGATAGAAGTGAGTTCAGAATACGGAACAATAAAAAGAATAAGGATTTTCTAATCGCTGACTTATCGATTCGAGATAATATTTTGTGCCTTAAGTCTTTGTCCTTAACGCACAATGACTGTCTTATGCCTTGAGTCTAAAAAGTCGTTTGTGATAAAAAGACAAACCGCTGTATAATGAAAAGAAAGTTAAAGGTGACAATTTAGACAAAGATTGAGGATATAAAACATTATCTTGAAAATATAAGTCATCTGTTGAGAACCTAAGAAACAAAATTAAACTTCAACATATAGACAACCGTATCTAATGATTATTAATATACAAATGAAGGTCGATTATCGATCGATAATTGTCGAGAAAATGATAAAAATATTAATGATAACAATAGACGTTTATTGGAAAATAGTAAAAGCGCTTTCGTTTGAAAACGTTCTCATATCTTAGCTCCGGTTGCACCAACGTTATTTTGGTTTTAAGCGAGGCTCAAAACATTAAATTTTGCCAAAGTAAAAGCGATACCTAAAATACTGTTTAGTACAACAAATTTAAGTAAGACAAATTTGAAGTTTTAAGTTTCGCTCAAAGCCAAAGTAAAAGGTTGGTGCAACCGGGCCTTACTCTCTGTTCCTTTTATTTATTGTGTTTTAAACTACGGTTTATTCCTAGAATTTATTCCTAATTCCCTGTATTTAATTCCTTGCTCCTTGTTCCTTTCATTGTGTCTAGACTGTGAACGTATCCTCAACAAGCAGATTCCCGTACGATCGCTCGGGAATGGAAATAATAATGAGCGTTAATGAGAAAACCCGCGAAGATTTATCAGCTTGAACGATTAAAGCGGAGATACCGCCTCTGAATACGAAAGGATAACACGGCGATAACATGAGATTCGAACGTTCTCCAATGCAACGAAGTTTCACAACGTACAATCACTTCGGTATAAACACTCCGTATGCATAATTTACTTCTTAAAAGCCTGTTATCGTTCGCGCACTCGACTCGGACTTACGCAGGCGATTTTAAATTCAAATCACACCTTAGCTTCAGATTGGCGGTAATGCGCGCGTGCTTTCAATACGGCGCGACTACATTCCATGCACGACAATCGACTTTTCTGATAACAAGCTTTCTTATAAAACGGCATTCCGATGATCTCTCTCTCTCTCTGTATTATCGTTTTTTAATTGCGAACGGCGCACGGTAGAGCCGCTCCGTGCACGGAGACGCAACGAACGGACGTAACGAGGCACTTGTAACACCTCGAGTGAGCGAGCGCAATGTTTTTGGCGCAATGTTCAGTGATTTAGCCAAGGCCGAATCACTATGTACGCTCGGTATGTATGCTCGACAACATCGCCCGATGTGATCGGTGACGCGTAATGTTTATCGTTGGCGCAGCACGTTAAAAGTCACGGCTTTGAAAACAACGTATGCGCAGGAGCGAAAACTCGGCTCCCGCCGAGACCTTCGAGATAACTTTAGCTTCAATCGCGAGACACGCACGATCCTTCCGTGCGTAGTACGCGTTCGTTTTCGTGCTCAATCGCACAACAATGTCTCACGTAAACAATAACGGACAACAAATTGTTATTGCGCTGATTCGAATGAAGCAGAGAGACAGAAGGGGGGGGGGGGGGAGACCGATAGGCAATTCACATCGTTATTGTGTTCTACTGAAATTCCGCCGAGCCGTCAATGTTGGCGCTCGTGATCTCGCTGGATCGGAAATAGCTCTTTTCTTTTTTTTTACACGCCTCGTATCGCGCACCGACGTGCAGAAAAAAGGCAGTATTTGCGCGGAGCGTGCGCCCAAATATTTTTTTTTTCCACACTACGTGTACAGGGTGTGGCGTGGAACGACGGCGAGACAATGTCGCTGACGAGGCGAGATTCCCCCCCCCCC